AAGAAAGGACTTGTATCGCTGAAGTTTCTGGAAAATAATTTTTACCGGAAATTATCAAACAAGCAGATACGTAACAGTAAATAAAAGTTAAGGTTTTTCATTAAATGTTCGATTAAGTCTAAGTACTGTTAAAACTCTGGAACGAGAAATAACACAAACATATAACATACTTATTCCACTATAGTTGACATTTTATTGATACTGAAGATGTGTAACTGAAATATTAACACCTAGATTTGATTAACCAGCATAATTCCTATTCATATACGTTCTTGCATGGAAGAACATATAGATAGCTGCATATAGTATCCATAAACATGGTTTTATATGTTATGTCATTATTGAAAACAAAAATGAAAGAAAAATTACGATGTGATTGTGTTTCATATACTAAAATAGTTAGAAATGCATAATTAAACAATTTTGTGCTAAATGCTAATAGATTAAAAAAAAGAAGGAAATGGCGGGTATTTACTGTTGTCGCTTTCTTCGCATGCTCTTTCAAGAGGATCTTAGAAATTTAAATGAAAAATGTCTAACAACTACGCAAAACGTGACACTCTATCACGTGGTCATTCTCTGACTGACAAAGTGCTGATGCATTACTTTTTCTTTTGGTTTCACTGTCAAATGACGAAGTAAATACGATACCAAGGATCAGGTGTTGAAATTATAAGGCAATTTGATGCCTTATAAATAGATTAACTTAATTCCTTTTCAGGTTAATAGATTTACATTATCACTCATTTAAAACGCAATGAAATATAATGTTATGATTATCATCTACGATTTATAAAATTGGGTTAGCAATTTTCTTACATTTGATATTTTCCGCCATATAAATTATTAAAATTACTCTACTTAATTCAGGTGATTTCAGAATAGTTTACAGAAGTAACAAGGTTTCTCTAAAAACAACAAAAGTTTCTGGCTGATATGCATAACTTTTAAAGTTTAAGGTAATATTTTATAAGATGACAAGTTAAAGGCTTAAACATTCAATTTCATAGCAACGTAAAAACATTTTTCATAAAAAAATCTGATTAATTGGTTAATAAAATGTAACTGTAAGAATTTAGTTGACTCTCACGTAAAATACAAATTAATAACTTAGGCTACAATAGAAAATTGTGTGACATTTACTAGCGTATATTTACCTCAGGAGAAAGAACCATTTTTATATTCATCATACTTTAAATCGTTTTTTATCACTCATGTACTTTATCACGGAAGAGCTAAATTGTCTAAATAAAAACACAGTATTTTGAAAGTGAAAAATCTATTAATCCTTATATCATTTCGTGGATTCATTGGAATTCTTCGCACATTTACGAACTAGGTGTATCCTATTAGTTAGCGTGCTAGACTGAGAATTGGTTTGTTTCGAATTTTGCGCAAATCTACCTGAGGGCAGCGGGCTATCTGCGCTAGCCGTCCATAATTTAGCAGTGAAAGACTAGAGTGAAGGCAGCTAGTCATCACTGCCCACCGCCAACTCTTGGGCTACTTTTTTACCAATGAATAGTGGGATAGACCGTCACCCCCACGGCTGAAAAGGTGAGCATGTTTGGTGGCTGATTGAGAACAAAATGGTTTATGGTCAGTGTTACGTTGCCTCAGAATCGTGATTCGTGCTTTAGGGCTGTGGGTTGTTATAAGAATGACAGTTAAATCTCATTATTTGATTTGAGTAGTCTAAACGTTTTTGGTGGATGCCGTTGACTAGTTGCATTCTCTATAATCTGCCAATTCAAAATTAAGTACGGCTAGTGCAATTAACCATTGTGTTGTTATGCGCGAAATCTTGCGCATTAACATTTCTTAAACTTATAAAGTTTACCATTTCAGACATTCAGTAATATTCATTACACCTAGAATGGGCTCTTCTGTTTCTTTGTTTTTAATCTATACGTTTACATGGAACTATATGATTCTGGTTACTTAATTTTTATTATTATTTCTCACTTACCTCCGTAAGTATGCTGTATGTCCTAGAAATGATTAAAATTATGAAACAGTTAACACTTGAAACATTTGATAAAACGTACAGAAGAATTTAAATATGCTAATCTAAATTCCGTCCAATCAAAGTTGAAATTTAAAACTATTTTTTGCTTGAAATAGTACGGTTTTATCGTAATATCGCAGTGTTTAAAAATAATATTCAACTACATTGAATACAATCCATCTTATCCTTGACCTATTTTTTGTAGATCCACACTAATGTTTTGTATCCAGCATACCACCTTATATCACACGTTCAAATGAAATACCACATAAGGACTTAAAACGTGAAGGAAAAAAACAATTAAGAAGAAACGTAATACAGTTTCCTTCAGGATATCTCTGTAACTAAACCTCCTAAGTAATTTCCTCAAATTATTTTGTATACTTTTCATATCGAAAGTTTTTCATTAAAACGAGCGTTACTACGTGCATAGCCAATCAAAACCTAGTCTCTATACATATAACATCGTCTATGGAGAAATGCTTTTGTGCGCAGTCTCAAAGTTTGTTGCCTTAGCAACCACTACATGTAAATTCAATTTCGATCGAGCTTCGGAGACAGACAACAGAGAAAGCATCAGCTCATTACCCAGAGTATCTTGGACCAGACGGTTAGTGTAATTAGCAAAAAAGACACTAGCCGAGTAGAACGTATTTACCTGATCAAGACTTCGTGGAATCTAAAAGTATGCAAAAGTCTGATTTATCTGTCTGTTGAGATACATCGATGGATTTTGGTCCTCCTCAACCTACAAACGAACCGATCTCAACGCTGCTACTTCCACTTGACAATAAACGGTTATATATATATATATATATAAGAGATATTAGATCTGTCGTGTAGTGTCTCGTCACTAGTAGTGTGTGTTTGAATTTTTTTCATTTCACTGTGGTTGTGCGTTTTTTATATGCTATGGGAACCATACTCAGTATCGCTCCTCGAGGACCAAAATCTGAATATGGCGAATACACGCCTAACTATGAACAGCTAAACAACGCTAAAAATAAGGAGAAATGTGAGGAGAAAGCCAATGTTAACCAACATGGCCATTTTAAAAAGCATTCCCTGTTCATCAATGCCCTCACGTGGAAACATATTAGCGTGTCTGGTAAGAAAAGAACTGACAGGAACAAGAGTACGACTTCTCGCCATCCACTAGATAACCTCGATACTTTGGTGGACAACAATAAGAACATTCAGAAATCTTTATCGTCCTATAATGTAAAGAGCGGTAATATCGGGTCAGTAGACGTTGTTAACAAAAACAACAACAATTTCCAGAAGGCCGCACCACCACCCTTACCCCCTAAACCAGCAGTGCTTTCTGGACACAACTTAGTCCGCCCTGCTCCTCCAGGAGCCCTCGCAGCTAGTGGACCACTTGTACTCAGTAGACCGCCCCCTCCTCAAAGTGTGCACAACAAAACAGTGATTCAGGCGTCCACCTCGGAACTCCTAAGATCCCTGGGGGAATTCTTGTTCAAGAAGTGTCGGAAAGTGAAGGACTTCCAGGCTGGAGACGCTGTTATGTGGCTTCGGACAGTGGACCGATCGCTCCTGCTTCAGGGCTGGCAAGATATCGCCTTTATCAACCCAGCCAATGTTGTCTTTCTTTACATGTTGGTGAGGGAACTGGTAACTGACGAAATAGACAGCGAGGGAGAGCTGCAAGCCATCGTGCTGACTTGCTTGTATCTTTCCTATTCCTACATGGGTAATGAAATTTCCTATCCGTTAAAGCCTTTTTTGGTAGAAGAAACCAAGGACATATTCTGGGATCGCTGTCTTCTGATCATCAACTTGCTCAGCGGTAAAATGTTACGTATCAACAGCGAGCCCAGTTTCTTCACCGACGTATTCACCGAATTAAAGGCTTTCTGTCCTGCTTCTGGCTAACGATAATAAACTTCTAGCTGATAAGACTATAAAGTATCTAGATAAAGTTCAAACCATGAAAGTAAAGTATCTAAAGAGAATATACACCAGAACACTGCGTCCTGGGGTCATAATAACTCGACTGGATAAATATTGTCCAGACTAAAGTATTTTAGTCCTTCTCCGGACATGTTTGGTACAGTTTCATTCCATTTTTTTTCAAGGTTATTTGAATTTAGCTTCGTTTAAGGCCCAGTATCTTGCCATTCTTGATGTCAGTGTGGAGTTAATCTAGACAAGGTAACCTATACTTAATACTGTGGTTTGCACTGTGATAAATATAACTCTTAAGATTTTGCAAAATTAAAAAGCTGAATATGATTTGGGCAATATAATTCACGTTACTGCTATATTCAAAATGAATTTGTCTTTTATCAGGCCAAAACTATTGCTCATAAAACCTTAAATTATTAGAACCACTATTTATTTGTAACTTCTCATCTCTAAAAACATTTGTTTTTACTCAGTCTTTAATATATTAAGCCAATTACACAATGTTATGTTATTTGATAAAGGATTAATATTATTCATTTGTAAATAAACAACACAAATGTAACGAATTTCTCTGCTTTTTTCTTACTCTATATGCTGTAAACAAAAGTACGCTGTAAAAATGTCACAGAACAATTCCACTACTCGAAAGCATAATATATATTTTAATAACTTGTGACGTTCTCTTACAAACGATCTCCAGTTTCTCAGCGGTCAAGCTGAGGGCTAAAAACGCTAAAAATCGGGTTTTGATATCATAAACTTTGTTGGATATATATATATATACCTTAAAAACTTATCATAATTTAAAATAGGATAATTTTATAAAATTTGCTTTTAAAGAACGCCTTCAAATATTTATATGAAAGATCTGTTTTATAAACATTTTAACGTTGTTTATCATATACCCGTAACAAGAGAATAACCTGAACATGATCGTACAAGATAATGTGTTTTACATGAACCTTAAAAGGCATTGTTCTTTTATTGTTGCTTTTGGTTTTCGCGCAACAGAACAGTTCTCGCCTGTTTTGGAAGCAGGGTCGTAATGTTATCAATAATAATACTTCAAACCAATAATTCACTTTGTATATAGTTCATATGAATTTACTAGAAAATTTAAAAGAAAACTATTTATTTCATGCGGTTTTAATGGATGGTAAACAAACTATTTATTGTGTGAGCATATTTAAAATCATTATTGTCTGTAAGTAAGTCATTTGAATTGGAAAATAGATCTTAAATCTACGGCTGTCGTAGAGAGAGAGATTCATTAGAATGCCTTAAGAATGCTTTATCTGTGAATAATATTTTTCGTTTAATCTTAAACTAGACGTCCAGAAAAACTTAGAACACCATGTTTCACGAGAAATGTGTACGTAGGTTGAAACTGAATTATTTAACAATGTGTGTAAACAGCATATAAAAACCTACCTACAGTCGTCATGTAATACATGCTCTCAGTATTCCAACAAAGTTTTATTCTTCCAAATGTAATTTCATTCAATCCAGTATGTGATCTGAGAGAGCAATCGATGTACCGAGATAAATTAGGTGTTTTTGAAAATGCTGCTAGCAATTCCCAAGTCACGTATCCATGTGCATCAAACACTATTCCTATGTTCTCATAAAATAAGGGACGAAATAATTGTTACTTTTCTCCAACTTAACACATCATGTTATAAGTTCTTAAAGAACATTGTGACATGTGCCACATTCAGAAATAATATACGGTATGTATAATGATAAGATAAAATAGAATCAGCAAGTAATAGCGGAATAGTCATCTATATCCCAACATGATTGTAACTATAAATAAAAATCGTGTCCTGCAAGGTTAAAAGCACAAAAGTTTTGGAGAACGTTATCAAAGGTTATTATGGATCTCCTTATTATGTTTCGTTTTAAATGTTCAAGTTTCGATTCTTACACATTTGATTGTGAATAGTAATGTTATTGAATTAATCCACACAACATTGTTTATATAACTTATGATCTTCTCATTTTGTCATTGTTGTTGTTGTTGTTAACTTTTTATGTTATAATGATCAACATAAAACATTTGTAATGACACACTGTAGTTCTCAAATAGAAAATGTAGTAGTTTTTTAGAAGCAAAATTAAAGGATTATACAAGTCCTGCATCATTGCACTCCACTGGATTTCTTGTACTGCTTACAAATAACATTTTGGCTTCAAACGATGGATTCTGATATTGATCTAAAAATCTGCTGAGTAGTGATTCGTGGCAGAAAACTATGAGTCTGTAAACTTAAGTATTTATACACGTCTATCCTTAGAAATCCATAAAAGGACCAGTTAAGAGGAATGTGGAGTAACACATCTGTAGTCAAACGCGATCGTACATGTATTGAACAAAAACTAAGAAAATTGTGCTAAAAACCTCCAACGATTTCTTTCGGTTTTACATATTCTCCAAGTTAAATTTGTGTCTCGATATACGAACAAAACTTAAAGTTTTCATAAGAGTCATGCTTGGATGAGTGCGTCATTTTTAGATACTTCTTTGCAGCAAAGTCAAACCTACCTAAAGTGAATTTATTAACTAATGGATTTGAAACTCATTGCGAATTTCTTCTTACTAAATGTTACTTCTAACCTACCCAACAACCTTTAATGTTACTTCTAACCTACCCAATAACATTTAATGTTGCTTCTAACCTACCTAATAACCTTTAATGTTACTTCTAACCAACCCAATAACATTTAATGTTGCTTCTAATCTACCCAATAACCTTTAATGTTACTTCTAGCCTACCTAATAACCTTTAATGTTACTTCTAACCTACCCAATAACATTTAATGTTGCTTCTGACCCACCCAATAACCCTTAATGTTACTTCTAACCTACCCAATAACATTTAATGTTGCTTTTAACATACCCAATAACATTTAATGTTGCGTCTAATCTACCCAATAACATTTAATCTTATTTTTTAACCTACCCAATAACCTTTTATTGAAGTTCGAATAAAAAGAGATGAACATTACATCACCAACCTTGGGCTTTTGTTGTTTGTTGTTATAGGCTGAACAGAAAAGTTCAATTTAAATTTAAGAAAATTGTTAGGGGAGATCGTTATTATCTCAGATGTAATTTAATTTTATTAAACGCACAGTTGTAGAATATTTCTGTAGAAACTTCGTAATATAAATTATTTCAATCTCAGCTTATAGCTCTACAATACTTAATAAGGTTTTTGTAACAATTTTAAAGTACGTACCAGTCTTTGCAAACAAATGGAAAAGGTTTGCCATTCTTTTAGTTTTTACTGAAAATTCAGAAGCATTTTCTTTCCAAACAATTGCATATCCATGCTATTATTAGCCATATATGTCTGTTGGTTATCACAGTGTTTTATTGATTACACAAACCCCTTTTCCAATTACTGTAGTTTGATACATGAAACCAGATATTATGAAGCCATTTGAAATACGATTAAGCAAGCATTTTACAACAGAAAATTTTATTTTATAATGCAAATTGGTTAAAACGTTGTAAAGTAATCGCATTTCGACTAAAGGAAAGTGACCATAGAGTAGTTTTCTTCTACAAAACCATTAACTGGTTTCTTATTTGGAACTGAATCTGTTTGTTCATAGCGCATGACTTGCATAACAAACCCAAAATCTTAACATATTGCTTTGTTGAATTGTGAATTACAGGATGTTTATTCTATTCTTTCTGTGCCATCCTGTATCAAAAATATCAGGGTTTCTGTTACATTACTCATGCAACTGATAGCATGCTACAGATACTGATTTTAAATATTGTACTTTCTACTGACATACTGTCATCGCCAACCTACATATGAGAGCAAGTAAAGCATTGACATAAACGTAGCGTCAATTAAAGTGCAAGAGAGTCAGTCTTACTTATAAAAGAATAAAAAAGGAGCTATGATCTTTCCTCCGTACTGAGCAGTGTTCTCCATTACTGCCGCAGTTCTATCGATTGTTATAATTTGTGATCTATTTGGCAGCAATTTACGCACGCGTAAACAGTTTGATTCTCAAATATGAATACTTTAGTCTTTTGTTTTAAAGGAGTGTTTACGTTTGATGTTTACTAGTGCAGAGAGATATTTGGTCAACTCTAAACTAAAATAGTAGCAACAAGAAATATCTTTATTATTATTATTTTTATGTTTTAAAGTCAAAACACGAAATATAATCATATTCCATTATATATAAATTTATTTTTAGTGTGATACGATAACACGAACTTATGCTGCAAACATGGTACAAACGTATTTATTTTATCCTGCGAAACTCAGCTATAGACAAACCTCTTTTGTTAATGACTTCATACTATTCAATAATTTACTTTACATAACTTTAATTTTTACCACTAAGTATTCCTTTTGTTGTTAATCCATGCAAGCTAATTTGTTTCAACTGTGATTTATATCAATTTAAAAGGAAGAAAGCTTTACTTCTAACTTCTTACCCAAAATATAAATCAGTATGTTAATTCGTATGCTCGTTTATTTGGTTCGGATATTTGCGCAAAGCTACACAATGACTATCTGCGCTAGTCCTTTCCCATTTTAAACCGATAGGATAAAAGAAAAGCAGATAGTCATTAACACCCACCGCCAACTCTTGGGCTACTTTAATCGAATAGTAAGATTTGACCGTCAGTCTTGTAGCACGCCCACAGTCCTAAAGTGTGGTGTCTGATTTTGCAACATCGGGACGCGAACAATATAACGTTGGATTCATAGTCCAGCACGCTAACCACAAGTTCACGCCAGGCCTAAGTTGTTTCGAATATCTAAGTTCTGCTTGAGTATTGTGAAGTAAGACGGTTACTCTATATAAACATAGATATATATGTGTGTGTGTGTGTGTTTATAAATAAATATTTGTTTCTGTATTTATACATTTTATACTTACTGATAATATCTGTTCCTTATTAAAGTTTTTTATTTACGACCTGTACAAAACAATTTAATCACCATGTAAAGTTCCCATATCAATTTACGGATCGCCAAAGTAAAATAAGAAATTACATCCTCAATAATCCATTAATAAAGGTAATAAAACATTACTAATACCAAAAATAATAATGTTATTATAAAATAATAAATAAGTTATTTACAAGTATTCAAAGCTAATCAAAAATCTCATTTTTGCATGCTAGTTTCTGAAACTTGTTTAGTGGTTAGTGGATTAAATAGGAGTGTTTACCACTATTCATGATTTAATGATTCATTTTTGAGTTTTAGTACAACCCTGAGGAATATTTTAATTTTCTATTAGCCTTAACGAAAGCAGAGAGTAAACTGTTATATCTGTTTAAATGTTGTTATTGTTGTTGTTGTTGTTTTTTTTTACAAAATATAAACAGTTTTCTTAGGCTCGTTCTTTTAGACACATGTATTCGATAACAACAT